GTACTTGATTGACTTTCCTTCTGTTTACTTTATGCCCTGACCCTCAAGGCTCCTCCACAGCTCTCACCACCAATCTGTCTCTCTCTTGTCTTCATATCCTTCCAATTTCCTTGCTATAGGCTCCCGGCTTGCCCTCAAGGCACATGATGCATGATGAGCAATTTTAACCTCCTGAGCAGCTGTAACTCCCCCCGGTCAATCCTTCAGCTTCCTTCACCATTGTTGTTCTGTCTGACTTCGGCACTGAGGCAACAGAACTGGATGCAGGTATTGACTCCCAGGTCTTCTGTAATTTGGAGTGATGGAGACTCGGAGGCATCCTATCACCCACCCAGTGCAGACAGCCCCAGGCAGGAAGAGGCTTTCTTCCCCCAGTGGTGTCTCCTCATGCTGGCAGCACGTTCCCTCTGTCCTGACACAGCTCCCTTATTACCAAGATCACCAGTTCTTAGTTTCTGCCTAGTTTTGTACACTACTGCAGTAACAAATAACCCCAAATCAAAGCCCAAAACTTCCCATATTAAAGGCAGTGGTGGAGATCGGTGTGATTTCTATCACCTCTGCTGTTGGTATTAAAAGCTAATTCACCTCAATGCATCAGCAAAGCTTGCCACAGAAAGTGAGGAATGCATTCTGCTCTGTTCCACATGAGCTTTGGTTTATACTTGAGACTGGAGCTGACCCACAGCAGACAATTCAAATTCCTTCTGTACGGCCTCATTTTTGTTGGCTGCCAACTACGAGCCAGTCCAGCTCCAGATCCCTGTTCACAGACGCTTTATTATGGCACCAGGGAAGAAATCAGCAAGAAGGGGACAAAATACCTCAGCTAAAAGCTGCCCTTGCCTGTCAACCTCATGATAAGAGCAGACCCAGGGAGTTTAAATGCAAACAAACTGGCTTCAGAGACTCACCAGCTTTCTGTGTCCTGCAATATACCCAGGGGCCACAAAGCATGTCGAGCACGCGAGGGAAGTTCAAAGTGTGCAGGAGCTGAAGTGATCTGCAGAAGAAAATCAATACAGACAAAGCGGTGTTAAGCAGCCACATGAGAGATTAGCAAAGATCAGTACTGGAATGAAGAGAATCTTCTGAGGAACTGGACAATGAATCCTGTTTATCACGCTACATACTGCCTTCTGAGGCAGAGCCCTGCAGCGTGCCTTCCCTTCCCTTCTCTTCCCTTCCCTCTTTGTGAGATGAAACACTGACACTTTCCCACAGGACATAATCCCTCCTGAAACCCTGCTGAGGAATCTGGACTGACAGACATTGAGCCTCAGAGGAATTTCCACAGAGGCTACATCCAAACGTTACAACACCAAAGAAGCCAGCGAACGCTGTCAGAACGGGACACTCCGGTGCCAGGCACTCGCCTGCAAGAGGCCTCCATGGAGGCAGGTGCGAGACACCGCTCTGACATGTGTGAGTGCAGAAGGACAAACGTTTGCATCACTTTTGTGACCACAAAGATCAAACTATGACCAAATTCCTGCGAGATGGGTGTTCCAGTGAACAGCTGAGACCAAAGCGTATCGCAGCACCAGCTGTCTCCTGCTCTATGTACCTCCCTTCGTCAGCAAACTGCAGTTCCGCTCCATGCTGCTGCAGCCACCCCACCACCAGCACCCATGCTAGTGAGCTCAAAGCAAAGTCACACAGAGCTGCATCTTTGCCTTCCCTGCAGATACACCTTGCTGCTTGAGGCAGAACCATCTCAGCTCACATCTCTTTCACCATTGACCCCAAGACTAATAATCATCTCTGGGTTGGAGTCCTTTGTCACCTTGATGTGTCACGCTGGGTGCATGGGGGACTACTGAAGGGTGCAGGCTCCCTGCTGTAGCCCATCATGAGCTGGAACAAGGCACCACTTACCCAGCCCCCTCATACATTCCTTTTCCTGCCAGCATTAGTGTTGTCAGACTGGCATTTTCAGCATGACTTTGTCAAGATGAACTTGAACTACACACGCATCTGTCTTCCTCACATCAGCGTGAATCTTCTCTCACTGCTTCCAGGGTTGTTAATCCTTCTCCTCTGGGACTGCACCAGGATGGTCCTTTCTTCTTGAGGATAATGGGACTGTCAAACAGGATTCTAGAAAGGACAGAATGGTTCCTTGAGTTTTCCAACTTCTTTGTAATTAGACATTCATTCCCATCGGAGCAGGAAAAGGACAGATGATCTTTCAAGGACAAGCCTGGCATTTTTTAATGGCATTCACAGATGATGGTTTATCAGAAGCCTGTTTCAGAACATAACTGATAATAGGAATCCTAAAGGTAAAGCTAGCAAACATTAAAGGCAGGAATCAGAGGGCATAGGAGAGAAAAAGGAGTATTCACATGCAGTAAACTGCTAACACAGACCTGTTCAGACAACTGTAAATGAGGACCCATAACGCACAATGCAGAACCACAGGACAGATTCCAGAGCTCTAAGAGGCTTACAGAAGGAATGGTTCCCCTCAGTGTCCCTTCAGCCATAAGACTTGTATCCCACTAGCAACAAAGATCTCAGGAGGATTAGGCTGGAGTATACAAAACCATGAGTGTAGCACAATACCCAGCCCATCAGTGGCTCACATGTTGCCTTTGGAACAAGAAGAGAAGGAAGCAGGTATCTCCTGCTATGCCAGCCTCTCTTCCTGCATCTACACTGCATAGAGAAATGCTATTGAAATGCAGCCACTTCTGCAACCCACAGAACACAAAATCACTGCGTTTTTAACACGAGGGAGGGGAAGCACAAGGGGCTTGCAGTTTGACTGCCTAAGACACCAAAACCAGCTCCATCAAACAGCTCTGACTACCATCTCACCTGCAACACAATTTTCAGCACCATAAGGCTGCCAGCAGCAAAGTGTCTCGCTGGTTTATCGGTAAATCACAAGAGAGAATCTTCAGCTGAAGCATCAATGCCAGGCAATGATTTCTACACAGGCCTGTGCTCACAGCTTTGGAAAATTGCCTGGGTGTCCCAGCAGAATGAAACAAGATAAAGAGAGAGTGATTCAAGTAATGACTAAGAACAAGGCCTGGAAAAGACTGCCTGCTTACAGATCAGCGTGATGTTTGCAGTAATTAATACATGTGACAAAGCAGAAAGGAGCACAAACAAGTTACAGTTCACATCTCATACAGTTTAAAGTTTCCACTCCCATTTGAAAGCTCTGATGTACATCACCCACCTCATGCTCTTCAGCATCACTCAGGGAAACTAAGCACACCCTGAAATAAATGTCATCTGACTGTGTCAAGGCACTACAGCAAGGATGGAAGATCATAGAGTCATAGACTCAGTGGTCCGGGTTGGAAGGGACCTTGAAGCTCATCCAGTTCCAACCCTGCCATGGGCAGGGACCCCTTCCACTGGAGCAGGTTGCTCCAAGCCCTGTCCAACCTGGCCTTGAACACTGCAGGGATGGGGCAGCCACAGCTTCTCTGGGCACCCTCACAGGGAAGAGCTTCTGCCTAAGAGCTCATCTCAGCCTCCCCTCAGGCAGGTTAAAGCCACTCCCCTTGTCCTGTCAATAAGACGCATCCAACACACTGATTTCTCCACAAGCAGCTGTGCTGAAGAACAACCCATGGCTGGGGCTCACTCCTTCACCCACCTGGGGATGCTGAGGCCACCCAAAGCCAGCACCATGCACATCACACAGCTCTGGGAGACATGAGCAGGGCACTGGGGTCTCTCCCATCCTCCGGGTGTAACTACATCATCAGGCCACGATTCTCACCCTGCTTCTATCCCAGTGAAAGCTTGCTATTCCCAGGCACATTTATTTATTGCTTTATTCTGGTCTCCATGGAAACAAGTGATGACATTCCCAGCTGCTGCAGGGAGGCCAGAGCCAGCGGCAGGAAGCACGGCAAAGGCTACAGCCAGAAAAGCACAATTCCTCTGCAAAGAGCAATGAAATAAGTGGCAGGAGAGTTGAAAAGCACTAAATGTGAGAGGCCTGAACTTAAACCCACTTCAATTATTTAACAGGATTGCCTGCTCTGTGTATTCGGATGAGTAGGATCAAACCTCAGGACTGCTGAGGTTGTCTCATCAGCACTTGCAGACAGCGCTGGCACATTGTATCGCTGCACCCACTGGGCACCTCTGAATTGCTTTTTATCAGCCTCCTCTGGAAACGATGAACAAAGCAAAGAGAAAAAGCAAGGCCAGATGCTCGGAGCTGAGCTTGATCCTGCAGAAATCCACGCCATCAGGTGGGTCCAGCCTTGCTCTGAGGAAATAAACACAGATGGCAGTAATAACGCAGAAATACAGGCAGCAAACACAAGCCATGCAAGCCCGCACCTGGAGTCAGGGATCGCTTTGCCAGGCACCAAGGCCCCGTCAGACCATAAGTTCAGTACCTGTTTAGTAATATATAGAGCTGTTTGGTTGTCTGGGCTGTGAAGAATGTGAAATGTTTTCCCTTACACATCTCATAAGACCAAGCGATGGCTCCAAGCCCCTGTGTCCAACCTGGCCTTGAGCACTGCCAGGGATGGGGCAGCCACAGCTTCTCTGGGCACCCTGTATCAGCGCCTCAGCACCCTCACAGGGAAGAGCTTCTGCCTAATGTCTAATCTAAATGATGCTGTAGCAAGTATTTATCTGATAGAGGACATTATATCATGCGATCAAATGTATATTCAAAGGACAGCATCCCTATAGTAAGGTCTTGCAGAGCTTAGTAAGAAATCCAAACCTACTGATGGACTTACATGATGCTCAAGGCTCCTGTGCAGATGAGATTTACACCAGCTTTGTACCCTATCCATCTCACACCAAAGTGTGCTATGCGCTCTCAGTGGAGGCAAGGCAATGAGGCTGTAACATAAATGCACCCAGAGGCAGCACATCCATATTGCCCTACTGAAAAGAGAGAACAAAGAAAGAAATCAGGACTAATTAGTTCTATAACATGTCTGGGACTGGATTTAGCGTCACTCAACGACCACAGTCAGCAGAGGAATGAAGAAAAATGGAGGCAATTTGTGGCTCAGTATTTATTAGCATTCAGATAATATGCCCCATCCATCATACACAAGGCATGTTTCAGGTGTACCAGTGCTCCTGTGTCCCGAGTACCCAGAACCCCTGTAAATCCTCTTCCTCGGATCCATTCATCTGGAAACAACCGCTGGGGGAAGCCATCTTTAACTTATGATGGAAATAAAGACTGATGATATGAAGCAGTCATAAAAGTAAGAGGCTGCAGATTAAGACAGAAGGAACCCACTGCTTCCTGCATACATAGATCTGTGAGTTACATGCTGCCAGGCACAGTTGTAGGATTATGGGAATAAAACCTCAACTGACACTGACAGAGACCATTTGAAAGCATCTAAAAGTCTTCAGACAAGTTGTTTGTTCCATTTCACAGCTGCTATTTAGCAGGGCAGGGAAAGGAAACAGTAAGGGGCCTGCAGAGGTTCCAGACAGGAATACATTAAACACGATAACATAAAAGGTTGGCTCCTCTCTTTATCCAGAAGTAACCACGGACAGCATCAGACTTATCCAGGTCTGACCAACAGACACATCTGTTTCCAGATGTTGCAGCCCCCCGCTCCTGCAAGCACTCCAGATAAGCAGCCTGGAATGACTCTTCCATGTGCCATTTTAAAGGACAGTTTAATTTCTACATGGCCATCAAAGAATGGGTCCTTACCATCAGTTACTGCTTAGTGGAGAGAAGGAGATGGCAGCAGAGGTTCACAGCCTCACTGCAGGCTTGGGAAGCATGCTGGCTTTCAGGTTTATTCCGCAGGCGCTCCAAGACCAGACTCCCTGAAATCTCATCAATTTTTGACTCAATAATACCCTAAGTGGCTGAAATTAAAGATATGGAAAATTAAACATACATTTGGGCACTTGGATAAATCAAGGCCTATAAAAAAGGAAGCACCAAATAAATCTCTTCATGTCGATTTCTGCTTTGCTGAAGTTTTAATGAGTTTTGACCTTTCATCTGCACATCGGCATTGAAAAATCTCATCTCATTTCCAGGGAAAAGAACTTCTTGCCTTTGTCTAAGAAAATGAATTGTTCTGGGTCCTACACAGTTGTCAGCTTGAAAACAGTCGGGCTGCTCAGCAGCTGAGCAGCTGCTAACTGAAAACACACAGGAGAAAACAAAGCAACCCCCGTTTCCTAATGAGCGTCTATTTATAACAATTATAAATCATTAATGTTGGTTAATTTATTAACATAACAGTGACATCAGACTTGATATTTCTGGCACAGGCACATGATGTCTCAAGTTATTTATTGATTCGTATCATCTTTGACAGCACAGGCAGGTGAGATGATGCACTGATGGAGTAAAATGGCAATTCCTGGGCTGTTACCACTGGATACAGAGACCCAACAAGGGTGACAGAAGAATTAGCTCACAAAACATATTTGACAAATAGATGGGCTTCAAACTCTCCAGTGGCTCAGGACTGTAATAGGTCTGTAATGAGGGAGGAGGTTAGTAAATAGGAACATTTGAATTCAGGAACAATGACATGCAATTAATATCAGTGCCCTACCCCCATATATCCCCAGAACAATTAGGATGTGCTGAAGGAGCAGTTGTGTTTGCTGAGATTTCTGTGCCAGCAAATACGGGGGATAAAGTATGCTTACAATTTAGGAAGGTCTCACCTCTGGGGTGGAATGTGCCAGATGTTTAACAGTGCATGTAACAGCTCGGAAGAGGGAGTGACAGAAGAATCAACTACTCCAAATGGATGTGAGTCCTAGGATGGTGCAATGTAGTAACTCACCCTGGAATACAACCAAGGCCCCGGACTGCAAACACCCTTGCAAGATGTGCCACCTCCGCTTTTAAACAAGGGATCACTCTCTTGATCGCAGCATTATCTGGGGGACACCAGTTCCTCCCAGTACAGCTGGATGTGAGCAAGAAATGTTTTCCAGTGAGGGTGGTAAAGCACTGGCCCAGGTTGCCCAGAGAGGCGGATGCAGCATTCCCGGAGACATTCAAGGCCAGGCTGGATGTGGTTCTGGGCAACCTGGTCTAGTGGAAGGTGTCCCTGCTCATTGCAGGGGGTTGGATGAAATGAGCTTTGAAGGTCCCTTCCAACCCAAATTATTCTACGAGTCTATGAATAGAGATTGCTACCAAGTCTACCACCAACATTACTCCTCAGTCCACACTCAATGGTCTGGTATGGACTGGTACAACCCAGTCTGTTTCTCTAAGCTCACCATAAATAATGCAGTACCTGCAATGGTGTGGCAGTGATCCTCTTTCTCTGGCCATCATCCTTTACAGTTCCTTAGACTGATAGAATGGTTAGGGTTGGAAAGGACCTTAAGATCATCCAGTTCCAACCCCCCTGCCATGGGCAGGGACACCTCACACTAAACCACGGCACCCAATGTCTGCTTGTCACATCATGTCTTCTTGCCTGTTGGCAAGGCAAGCAAAAACCCAGCCAAACCCATGGCTGAACTTTTATATCCTGAACTTGGCTCCTGGATAAAGTATTGACACCTGACAGCCGTGGATCCTGCAGCTTCTAGAGTTCAGTCTGTGAGCGTAAGTCTCCCACTAGAACAAAAACTGAGCCTGGCAGGAAGGGGCTTTCTCCAGGGATAAACAACTCTGCAGTTGCTCAGAGCTGCACCTCATGTCATTTGCCTGTAACAAAACCAGGATGGAGATGGGACAGGGAGGAGAAGGCTGGCTGATTCTTCCAGTCTAGTCCACAAACAGCTGCAGATGCAGATGCAGTCACACCAGGAACAGGAAGGGTACTCAAAGAAATACAAGGAATTAAACACACACAGGTATATGGAGCGCTCAGGAACGGGGAAAGGTATGCAGGTAATGGTACAACCATACCTAAAGCTACAGGAGGACCCTCTTCTCCAGCCTTAACCACCCCACATCATGGCACACCACAGGGTGAAAAAGCAATGGGTAGATGGCATTTCATGTATTGCACATGAAGCCCACCTCTGCACAGTCATCAAACCAATAGCTGGAGGGTTCTAAAGACATTAAATCTGAGTAGCAGGCACCCCAAGGTTTACCAAAAGCTGTGCCCCAGTGTGAGCTTGAGTGCAAGCAGCATGATACACAGAGACTTAGGATTCAAGCACTGATGCAAGCTCACAGCCAAAACACCAGCTACATTTACCTGTCGTCTCTGATGTGAGCCCAAGCCTAAATACATGAAAATCTTCTTTTCCCTTCATGATGAATACACATAAATTTGTGTCTTCCTGTGCAAAAAGTCACATCAGGGATATGTAATCATGAAAAGCACCATGTAACATTACTGTAGTTCATAATATGCATCCTTCTTCTGTTTCCATTTCTATCCAATGGGAGTTACACACTGTTATTTCAAGGAAGGTTCATGGTTCTTCCTGAATTACTGTACTTTTACTGGCACACAAGCAGAAGTGCTCCTCATAGGAATGAGGTGGTGAAAAGGAAAGAGCATGAAAGGCTCCATTAGGGAATGCAGGAGCCATTCAAGGTCTTCTCAAGATTAACAGCATTTTTATGGAGATGTACTTGCCTGCCTTTCTGCTGATGCTTTCAATAGGGAGCTGCAGTAACTTGACTCAGAATTAAATGAAGCTACTTATACACATAAAGTTAACCAACCACTTAATTAGTTTCCTAGTCAGCCTCTTTCTGTAAAATGAAAGAAGGGGATTCATGTTTGCTCCTCTCACAATCAAAACCTTTCTTTTTTAAGGAAGCATCGATACTCTGCTGTCTATTCACAGGGCAGAGATGTGGTGTCTCTATGGAAGGATGCTGTCCTCTGAAAGAGATCTAATGTTCATCGTAATAACACTGTATTTTAGAGCACCTCTCTGAGCATCTCATTTCTTAGCTAACAGCTGCTTGCATGGTGGGTAGAACGAGCATCTTCTTGCACCTGCTTAGAGAATGAAGCGCATTCCTTCAAGTGATGATGTGACAAGAAGAGGGACATCAAGGGAACCCCTGTGCAGGGTCTTGCTCAAGTGGAAATCAGTCATCCCGTATGCTTTGATAAGAGATGGCATTTCTTCCACTTATCAGCTCTTCCCTGAGGTCCCTTATAACACACTTCACAGCTAAAGCCATACTTCCTTTTCCCAAGTGCATTACCCCAAGCCTGCTCACCCAGGCCATCAATATATGCTTACATCCCTCAGACCTGTGAAGTCTCTCAGGCTGGCTTCACTCTTTGCTATTTTCTTAGCCTGTATCATCTTGTGCAATAACAATACCTGGGAGTTGTTTCGGCCTGGCTCTGGCTTTTGTAGGAGCTGGGGCACAATCCTGAAAAGCAAAGTTGGCCAAGGAGGCTTCCGTGGGAGCACAGCTGGATTTGGGCTGCTCAGCAGATTGGCTTCAGACCCAGCTTTGTGCAGTGATTTCCTTTCTGCACCGGGGTACAACACTGTGCTAGTCATGCCATAATCTTCACTCATGAAAGCGAACCAAACCTTTAACTGCAGATAAAGTCAAAAGCCACCTCTCCTCTTCCTACATTTTTAAAGCAAAGCCATGTAAGTCCCACAAGAAGTATGTATAGGAAAAGTTTAACACCTCTTTTGTGTCATGCCTTGGGGCAGCTGAGGATACTGGACAGGGATGGCACATCCTGCTGCTGCCACGTCCCCGTGCAGACTGGCTGCAGATGGCTGTGTCACTGTCCTGATGAGATGCGATGGTACTAACGAGATCCAGGAGCCACTCCTCGTGGGGAATGATCAGAAATGGCTTCGTTTCACTCTTGACTCCTGACAGAAAACAACTGTGGGTGTAGTGAGAGTGGCAGATGAGGACGGGAGGGGGAAAGAGGGGGGAAAGCTCATCACAATCTGCAGCCAATTTGAAACACTCCTCTGGGACTGACTCATTATCAGCCCTGCAACCAGGCATTTCACCTATCATGTACTGCCTGATAAACACTGATATTCTGCTAATAACAAACTGCCATCTGCTATCTATTAATGCTTGTTAAGGCTGCTTTAGAGGCCAGCAGAACCCTCCCTGTGCCAGTATTTCCCCCTCTATCTGCATTTTCTTTGCTTCCCCTTTTTCGCTTCTGTGGTCAGATGGGAACCAAACAGCGCCAGCTCCTTCTGCCATCTCCGATAAGGTTATCTGGGATCCTAATGGTACATCCTAAACTTAGATTCAAAAGCAGAAAATCACTAATGGGCTCCTGTGAGCGGTGGAGATTCTGCTCTTTTTAAAAGGCTTTAAAGCTCCCTGCTGTGGATTGAGCCAGTTTGGTCCTCCAACATGGAAAAGCTGTCAATCATCTCAGCCAGTGCCCTCACTAAGCCAGGCATTTCATAAGCCACATGACCCAACCAGCCAAGACACTGAGCAGGAAAAGGCAACAAGTGGCTTAGATCCATGGGTGTTATTAGGGATAGAGACACACTCTCAGACATTGGCTGGTTTTCATCCCTTCTCTTCACCTTTGCCTGAAAGGGAATGCATCAACAAAGGGAAACTTCAGCAGGAGTTTAATCAAAGCTGCAGACAAAGAGGCTGGAGTCTGTCCCTTTCTGTTAAAAGCTGACTTTAAGGTTTGTTGTGTGACAGTGGTAGCACTCGTTACACTGCATTCTGGACTCATTATTAGGCTGAAGCAAAGGGCCCATTTCTATCCACAGAGTGTAGAGCAGGGAAGAGAATGAGTCCCAGTGACTCTTCCATGAATCAAATGCCCTCTTGGCTTGCTTTGTCCACACGTGGCCTTCCCTTGCACATACACATGTTGTTCTCTTTGCGTTTGGCTCTTTGCGCAGCAGAGACAATCCGTTTCTTTTTTGTCTGCAGAGATGGTCGTCAAATGAAAGGCAAAGCTGCTTCTGACTGACTATCTGTCAGGATCTAAGGATGGTTGGTTTTCTCAAGCTGGTGTTGAAGTAGAGGAAAAGATGACAATCCTTGGAAGCAAAGTTGCTTTGACTTCTATTCCTACCCTTCAACTGAGTACTGACACCACCACCAAGGAAGGCTGACATCAGGATGCCACTGCTGTCCTGAGCAGTGGCTGATTTCCAGTTTGACTCAGGACTAGTACCTATGACACAAGAAGCACCACAGAACTGCTGCTATTCTGAAGGACTTAGTGGACCTACTCAGTGGCAAAGGAAGGATGTGACCAGTTTCAGAGCAGCATGTAGCGAGCAAAGCTCCCACTCACCTCTCATACTGTGTAGGTCATGTCTGGGACTGTCCTGTTCACGTACGCATCAGAGCAGCACGTACAGTGAGTGGATGTGGAGTGATGTCTGACAAGGAGGATTTTACAGAGGGTATTTTTAAAAGCCTCTTGCTCTTGTTAGTCCTGATGGGGAGGGGAGCAAGGGAGGAAAGTGGAAAATGAAGAGGCAGCTAACTTGAGAAATACTGAAGCTGCAAGCAAATAACTGTGAGGAAATAAAAGCTGTAACAACAACAACAAATCTTTGAGGGTTTGATGCATTCCTGCCTGTGAATCTGCCTGAATCTATTTAAAGGACCAGATTTCATCCCAGTATATAGAGTTGCAAAGTTTGCTGGAGCTGCTGCAGATTACACCATTTGTAATGACAGCTCATTGCATCGGAGAGATGCCCAACAGAGAAGTAACTGCACAGCACATTTCCCTTATGATGAGCAGAGGGGTGACTGAGGAGACCAGTGTCTGTGAGCTCACCTACATGATGCAACCTGCTAGCAAATAAGATAAGGTTATACCTCTGCTGCTGGACATGTGGAAATCTGTAGGATGGGTCGCACCCTAGGGGTTATGCAGTCTGCTATTCCCTGCACCATCACAGGAAAACTGAGGGGAAAGCAATTGCCACATTTGGTTTGGGTGCTCTATTAAGTAAGTAAATTAATGGTGCAGGAAGCTGGCATCACTCTCTAAGCTGCAGACAGCAGCCCTCTGGAAGAAGATGTGATCATGTAATTAAGGAGTGTAGCACACTGTAAGCGGGCAAAGGGGCTAATTAAACCCACAAACTTAGCCTCCATTCTGCTGTTTTCTGGTGGTGGTGATCTTCACTTTGCAGCCTTTGTAATACGAGTTTAATGTAACTTTCGGTGCACAATAGCCTCTCGCTCGCATGCTGCCTGCATTGAGTCACAGCACAATGAGTCTCTCGCCTCCTGAAGTCATGTAATTATCTGGGGATCTTAAATTAAGAAAAAGAAGAGGACTCTTGTAAACCTCCCTGTTTGAAGAGAAGTGTGAGTAGGCGACTCCAGTGTTTGTGTCTGTCTGCGGAGAGCCTGAAACAATAGTTTGGAGCGAGACGGAATGTCGTGTGTATCCTCATAGAAAACTAATAATTCCTGCGATTATCAACAGCATCCCCTCAGGGAACTCGGTCACCCCCGTGGGTATTTATGGGCGTTAAGTACAGGGAGAAATCTTGCCGATGACCCTAGCTGTTATTCCTTCCGTTTCTTCTACAGATAAAGCTCCTTGATCTGTCTGGGAGAATCTATTGGGACAATAAAGGACCCCAATGCTCAGAAGCGTCTGGATTTCCCGATGCCATCTGCAGATCCGTGTCCTGTCTTTGCCTTCAAGCTCTGGGGATATGAAAGGGACGAGAAGTCCTGCATTTGAAGGGTGTCTATTTGCAAACGAGGGCACAACTAAGGGCAGTGTGGTTTGGTAGGACCCACCTCCAGGATAGCCCTCGGGAGCATCAGAGCACACAGCAGCACCGAGAGCAAAGCTCTGCAGGGAGACAGGCTGCAGAGCAGACACAGGCAGTTATTTTTAAGCCATCTCTCACATATAGGCAGTTCATGTTTATGGAATATGGCACAGGAGGTATCTTAAAACCAAAGCATCTCTCCAGCTATGCGTATCCAGGACAAACATGAGGTGAATGATACCCTCTAACTTCCTTCCAGAGCCACTTCAGTGGCAATCAGAGGAAACGTTTCCTAGAGAAACAGTTCATATCAAATTTATAAGCCTTCCCTTGGGGAGGAGACGTCTATTTCCCCTTCTACCTGTCATTCTTCTTCGTTTATTGGATCAATAAGGCATTACATTTGGCAGGCTTTAAGTAAAAAATGAGCTTTTCATATTACAGAGAGCCTGGATGGATTAAAAAAAAACCCTGTTAGAATCGCGATGCAGTTAATAGGAGTAAAAATAAATAGAAACAGAATCTAAATGTAAATGAACATTACATCACCACTGGCATTTAGGCTCATTTTCAAACACAGAATTAGAAACAGATTTAACTTGCTGAAGCCTGCTGTGTTCATACAGATATAGCTGCTCCGGGGGACACAGGTTCTGTCCGTACCTTCTGCTCCCCAAGCAAGCCACAGATGAGATCCTTACTGGACAAGAAAGGAGCAAGAGTGGCCATGCAGGGGAGTCAAACTTCTACTTTCAGCTCAAAAGGGGAGCTAAGAGGGTGGGAGGAATATGATGATGTTCCTGCTTCCCTGTCCTTTGTAAACTGATGCAATACCGGGTTAACCAGACCCTCCGAACTGACCTACTGAGTTGGAGCTTCTAAGCTTCTGGTCTTTAACACAGCTCCTCCATCAGCTCAGATGCCATAGCCACCACACACTTACATCCATCACGAAGTCCCATCTGTCCATGGAACTGTGGAGTGTTAATTTCCCTGCAAGTGTTGCCAGGAGGGTGAGACACACTCCTGTCTGAGGAGGCAGCTGAGGATCACACCGCCGTGCCCTGCCTTCGGGGCTCACAGACCATTTCCCACTTGGCTGCCTCTCCACAGCCTCAGAGTTCTTCCTTCCTTACCTCTGGGGATCACTGCCCACATACCCACGTTTTCCTCTTCACATAAGGAACGGAATTGCTGGCAGTTCCTCTAAGCTGGTATTATCAGTAGGCCACAGCAGCTTTTCTGACTGCCTTCAAGCTTCAGGGG